AGCCGAGGAGACGAGGCGGCGACCGACAGTCGGGGGTTGCCGAAGGTGCCCCTGGCTCAAATTGCCCCAAGCTATTCGCTCAATGTTGGAAGCCGTGTGTCCTTTGGACCTCTTGATGGGTGCTCTGGAAGCCGTGGGGGCCTCCTTGGGAATCCTGGCGGCACTTGGGGCCAGGGGGACTTCTAGCAACGTCCGAGACAGAAATTTGAGAAAAGATAGTTTACGCTGCGGGGCGACTGCGAAATCAGTTGAAACACGCCTAACTAAAATCTGGCGGGGGAGGGGGGCGATGAAAACACAGTTTGGCCCCCTATCTTTTTCCGTGAGTCCTACGCGATACGAAGGCGACCCCTCGGGGGGGCTTTGTAATCGTCCACCACCATTGCGCGCGTGTGTGTCGTCGCCATGGCGAGTGGTGGATGTGGCCCGTCTGGCCTTGACGCCCCTTCTTGGGTCGCACTGGGGCCCTCTTGGAGCACATCTTCGGGCTCCCTTGCTGCCCTCCTTGGGGCATCTCTAACGCCATCGCCCCCGCCGCAAGGTGTCGCCAACCGTCAGCGGTTCGTCGTGGTGACGGCCGTCAGATCCTGGACCTCTGACATGGCGCCTCCGTCACGGCCATCGCTGTAACGGCCAGCGGGGATGGAGGTTGCCGTCTGGCCTGGCCGCCGTCCTGACGGCCGCCGTCGACGCCGTCGCCCCCTTATGAAGATCTTCTGATAATCCACGGAAGCAAAAAACAGCTACACCTGGGTCGTTGAAGTGGGACCTGGAAGTCATGGAAATACGTCTGCGTTTCCCTGTGGCCGTCGCCCCCATCAGAATCGCTGTTCCCCCAGACCTCTCCCAGGGAAATACAAGACAAACTGCAATGACATACAAAAGCTATGACCTAATTTGATAGTTTCTAAAGAAAAAGACTAAATCAGTATATATATATATATATATATATGTATGTATGTATGGGGCGCAATCTGACCAGGGTCTCGCAGCGAAACCCCAGCCGCGGCGACGAGGGCTCTCCCGCCCGAGGCGCGGCACCGGGATCTTCTGTTCCTCTGACTTGGGCGTCGCTTCCTGGGGTGAAGGCCCTTTTCACCCTCCTCCTCCTCCTCCTCCTCCTCCTCCTACGTTTCTACGTTTCTCGCTATGCAGCGTCTTGTCGCGCGCCCCGCGGGCGCGGAGCGCTCTGCAGCGGCCCTACAGGGCCGCGCGGGCACTCAGACAGCGGCCCCGGGAACCCGACCCCGAGGAAAGCAGGGAGCCAGGGACCAAATAATCATAGAGAAGGGAGAAGGGGGGCCGGGTTTCAGCAAAACTAAAAAGATGAGGGCCCGTCTGGGCCCTCAGCGGGCGCCGCGCTCGCCCGTGCCAGCTCAGCCAGCTCGGCGCGCAGCCAGGCCTTCGGCCTCTTTGTGGGCGGTCGGCCTCTTGTGTGGCGGCTGGGCTCCCTTCGGCGCCTCGCGCTGAGCCCAGCCGCCAGGTCATCAGATGGATGGCCGCCTTCTCTGCGGCGGCCTCCACCCTTCGGCGCTTAGCGCTGTGGAGGCCCGCCGAGCCTCTCTTGGACTCCGGCGGCTCTGCAGCAATCTCCTCGCCTGCCACGCGAGGGCGGTGGGGAGACACCCTTCGGCGCCAGGCGCTGTGTCTCCCTCACCGCGGGGCAGGCTGCCCCTTCTGGTCGAGTACTCCATGGCTTGTAATTCTCCATGGTGACTGACGCTGTATACTTCCAGTACTGCCTGACGTTGCAGAGCTGCACCATGTAGAGCTTGCGCTTGTAGGGCTCCATGTAGAGCTGCGGTGCTGCCGTCGTCAGTCATGACCCCCCTGCTTTTGAGGGGCAGGGGGGTGCTGATCACGGATGTTGTAGATGTCGATGTATGGGGGCTGAGTGCAAGATGTGGAGCGAGTTGGACGGTCGTTGGGGGTCGGTTCGTTGCTGGTGTTGTGTTGGTTGTGGGCTACCAAGGCCTCCATGCACCGACTTCAAGTGGGGGTCGTTGCTGTCCCACCTCGTCCCGCTATGGCTAGGGGTCACGGTGCCCTCGGTGGGGGCGAACCCCAGGCCTGGTACTTGTTATCGTCGGAGTGGGGTGTCTCGGCTGTCCAGCTTCGCCCTCGGGCGATCGGGTAGCTCCTCCTTCTCCATGGGAATGGTGGGGGTGGCGAGCTAGGGCGGACCGCGGGGGCGCAGGTAGTGGCCGTCCTACCCCCCCCCCCTGCCCCTCACCATCCCCGCTGGCGGGCGCGGGAAGTACTCGTCCTTCCCCCCCAGCCCTTCGAGCCCGTCTCGAAGTTTGATCTTCACCAGGACAGCGTTGACTTGGCAGGAGTTGTGTGGGGTCGTGCTGGGTATGCAGTCGATGTCGGTCGGTGGTACGCTGGCGGCCAATGGGCCGCCCGCTGCCAGCCAGCTGGCGCCATCCAAATTGTAGATATCCAGTCGCCGCCGGGGTGCACAACAAAACGTGGCGACTTGTGCCTGGGGTGTTCCCTC